GGGGCCAAGGATGAACAGGATTGATTCGAGCGAGACCAAAGAACCCTCCAGCCAACCGCAGATACAGTCCAGCGTTTCTGTCAGCCAGAAATTTTCCAACCTATTATTTTGGCATCTGTTGAAGCACTTCAACTGTCCTGAAAGAGACGGTGACCGTGGCCAAAACAGGCAGATGTAGGGTTCCACCGCGTTGAGCGATTTAATTGCAAACTCAACAATATGTAGGAATCACATTTTTGCGGCGTTGCTTTCTTTCAACAGTTGATGAAAGTAGTTCACCATACTCAACGCAAGATTTGAGAGAAATGATCCCAGGTCGAAACTTGAGTCTATAGGCCACAAAGTCTCCAAATACCATTTCAACGTCGTTCAACTTGCTTCAACGCCAACCAAAGGACAGTGATTCTCGCTACCCTCGGCGCAACTGGTTCCTTGGTAGAGACTTGACCGAAAAATTATAAAAGGGGCCGGATTCCCAGCCCAAAATTCTCAGGACTTCCATCCTCACACTTTGATCCTCACACTTTGATGCATCATAGTGTCCCTCTCTTGCCTGCGGGCTTGAGAGCTTCCGTGACCACGGCTGTCGCTGCCACGAGCCCAGCGATGTAAGACTGTGCTCCCTCGCTGCCATGAGCCCCGCGAGTGTAGAAAGGTGCTTCGCAGGATAGGTCTGCGTCAACAATAATCCTCGCAGGGAGGTGCTGCGTCAACAAGACTACCTCGCAGGATAGGTCTGCGTGAACAACAATCCTCGCAGGGGGGTGCTGCGAAAACAAGACTACCCCGCAGGATAGGTCTGCGTCAACAACAATCCTCGCAGGGGGGTGCTGGGAAAACAAGACTACCTCGCAGGATAGGTCTGCGTCAACAATAATCCTCGCAGGGAGGTGCTGCGTCAACAAGACTACCTCGCAGGATAGGTCTGCGTCAACAACAATCCTCGCAGGATGGGCTCTGCGAAACCAAGGACTCCAGACCTTCCGTGACCACGGCTGTCGCTGCCACGAGCCCAGCGATGTAAGACTTGCGCTTCCTCACAGCCAATGAGTCCTGTGTATGTAAAAATGTGCTCCCTCACAGCCAATGAGCCCTGTGACTGTAAAAGTGTGCTCCCTCACAGCCAATGAGCCCTGTGACTGTAAAAATGTG